GTGGTTACATTCAAACTTTAACTTCCTTAGTACCCTGCTCAGCGTTTTATTATAAAAATATGTAAGTATCCAAAAGAGCTAATGGAATCTTATTTTTTATGAACAAATCATTGGTTTTGCAGAATTCTATCATGCGTTCTCCAGCATCATTTCTATCACCAAGGCTATATTTTCCAACTACTGATCCTTCCTCTTTGCTCCCAACCTTTGCATTCCAATCACCAGTAATGAGCAATACATATTGATTGCATATTTGATCAATTTCAGATTGAAGAAGTTGGTAGAATTCACGTCATCCTCACTGGCTTTAGTGGTTGGTACATAAATTTGAATAATAGTGGTATTAACTGGGCTTCCCTCTAGGTGCATGGATATTATCCTATCACAAACAGCATTGTACCTCATGGCTGATAGGGATATGTTCTTTTTGACGATGAATGCAACACCATTCCTCTTCAATTTGTCATTTCCTGCATAGTAAACCATGTGGTTGTCAGATTCAAAATGGCCAGTAACAGCCCATTTCAGCTCACTAGTGCCTAAGATATTGATGTTTATGCATTCCATTTCATTTTTGACAACTTCCAATTTTCCCAATTTCATACTTTGTACGTTCCATGTTCTAATTATTAATGGATGTTTACAGCTGTTTCTCTTCATTTTGAGTTGTGCCCCATCAGCAAATGAAGGTCCTGCGAGCTTTTCTCCCATGAGCTTTACTCCATTTGCGTCATCACGGTCAACTCTACTTTGAGGAGGCAGTTCTTCCCCAGTTGCATTTTGAGTGCCTTGCAACCTGAGGGGCTCATTTTCCGGCAGGATATCTGACAGTGTTTCTCTGCTATTCATAAGGTTTTCAGTGACCAAATATTCAGAAGTAGTTCGTCATTCCTTCTTCCTGGTATGTCATGTCTGGAAGTTCATCTGAAACCTGTCCACCATGGGTGACCCTGCTTGTATTTGAAATACCAGTGGCATAGCTTTCAGAATCACAGCAACTCACAAGGCACCACAGTATGATAAACTGACAAACGTGGACTATAATTGTAGATTTGTCTGTTTCTTTCTTCAATTATAGTAGGGTTTGCTTTATATATCTTGGTGCTCTTTCATTTGGAGCGTAGATGTTAATTATGGATATGTCATCTTGCTCAATTGACCCTTTAATCATGTGATAGTATCCTTCCTTATCTCATATGGTTGTTTTTGCCTTAAAGTTTTTTTTTTTAATTTTTTTTTTAATCAGAGATTAGTATTGCCACTCTTGCTCGTTTTTTATTGGCAGTTAGCTTGGTATATTTTTTTTCCATCCTTTAACTTTTAGTCTGTTTTTGTCTTTGTGTGTAAGGTGTGTCTCTTGCAAGCAGCATATTGAAGGGTTCTTGTTTTCTTGTTTTCTTATCCATTCAGCCACTCTCTGTCTCCTCACTGATGCATTTAATCCATTAGCATTCAGTGTATTTATCGATAGGTATGGATTAACTGCTGTTATTATGTTAATTTTTGTGGTGCTGTTTGTTCCTTTGTTCTGCATGCCTTCTTGTGTTACATTTGTGGTTTTTTGTGCTATTTCTTATCAGTTTCATCTTTGTTTTAATGTTTCCTTGTTCTGTTTGGATCTTTATTATCATGGTAAGTTGTGAAGTATTAATTTTCTTTGGGGTTAGCCTGTAGTCTCTTTAAGTTTTCCCTTTGTTTAAGACAGTCTATTGTATCCTGCCATCTACTCGACCTCCTCACCACCTGGATCTCTGTTTCTTTATTTTTCCCTTCTTTAATATTGTTAATATTTTCATCTTTGGTTGGCGTCACAGGTCCTCTGAATTCATTGCTGTAATTTTGTTACATTCTGAATTCTGCTATCCATCGACTGAGTTCCAGGTGGTGTTGCCATGCCTGTCAATCTCTGGTTGTTGTTTGTTCTTGCTGGTTTTCATTCCAAAGAACTCACTTTAGGGTGTTTTGAAGCACTGGATTGGCTTTAACAAAGTCTTTTAGCTTCTTATCTTGGAATGTTTTTATTGCACCATTGTATTTGATTGACAGTTTTTCTGGATTAGAATGTTTTTTTCTTGGAATGTTTTTATTGCACCGTTGTATTTGATTGACAGACGATTCTCGGTTGGCATTTTTTTTTTTTCCTTTTAGGGTTTTATATATGTCTCCCCATTGCCTTCTTGCCTGCATGGTTTCTGCTGATAAGTCAGAGCTTAATCTGATTTGCTTGCCTTTGTAGGTGACACTTCTCTTTTCCCTGGCTGCTTTTAGGATGCTCTCCTTGTCTTTGGTTTTGGAGAGCTTGATTGTGATATGTCTCGATGATTTTCTTTTGGGGTCCATCCTGGGGTTCTTTCAACTTCTTGAATGTTTATCTTCTTGTCCTTCAAGATGTTAGGAAAATTTTTTTTCCAGTAGCTCTTCAACTGTCTCTTCTGTGGACTTTTGTGATTCTTCCTGTTCTTGAATGCTAATAATTCTTATGTTATTCCTCTTCATGTTATCCAGCATGAATCTTAGACTGTCTTCAGATTTTTTAGTCATTATTATTTCTGCTTGCTGTTCTATCTAGCAGTATTGAGAGATTTGTCTTCTAGCTCGCTGGTTCTGGCTTCCATCTCGTCCATTCTGCTCCTTTGCCCTTTCAGTGCATTGTCCATTTCTGATATTATTAATCATCTGGACTTCTTTTTGCAGGTTTTGGATTGTTTCCAGTGCCGTATTTATCTTGTTTGATTGCTCCTGTAGCATTTTCCTGACTTCTTCCTTATTTTCCTCCACCCCTTTTGGAGCATTTGGATTTGTTTCAATATTATTCTTCTGAATTCCTTCTTAGGCAGATCCAGAGCTTGCTCTTCTACTGGAAAGTCTGTGTGTACTTCCAGCTCATTTGTCTCAGTTACTTTTTTCTGTTTTTGGACATGTGTTGAGATCTTTAATTGTGTTTTCTTGGACATTTTCAACAGTTATGTGAGTTTTTAATGCTTAAATGAATGTATGTTGCTTTTTGTTAAGCTTGCTGAGCATCTCCTGGTGGATATGATCTGCAGATAGGCTTCCTTTTTCACTTGTAATGTCGAACAGCTGGTTTTGGCTCTTGTCCAGATGGTGGGGTACTACAGGTTATGCTTGTAGCTTGTCTTTATGGGCACAGTTGCTGTCTCTTCTTGGGTAAGGTACGGGGAGAAATTTCCCACCCCTTGAGAGAAGAGTGAAGCCAAAAGGACCAAAGACAGAAACAATATAAAAGCAAAGATAGAAACCACCAATCAGAAACAAAAATAAAATTGTGATTTACACTGTTCACTGGCCTTTGCTGTGCAAAGGGTCCCGCCTAGGTAAATATGGGGCAGGGTCCCAGGGTGAAAACGTCAAACTGTGGGTGCAATGCTGGACCCTTTTGGGACTGTGCTCCTGCCCGCCTGAATGCGTCTGGGCTGTGCAGTGAGGGCGCAATCTGGGTGAAGAGGAGAGATACATGAAAAATGAAAAGTGAAAGATAAAAATCGGTTACATCTCTCCCTTCAGATGTGCTGCTCCGTGGTGGCTTCAGGAGCTGGGTCGCTGCCTCTGCTTGGCTGTGGCCCCGCCCTCCAGCCTAAGTACTTCTGGCTGATGGCCACCGTGGCTGGGTCGATTCAGAAGTCACTGTAATTTGTTTCCACCTACAGATGTCTTCTCAGTGGATTTGGGGAACTGGCCCCCAGAACCTTAAACATGATCCAAAGCTCCGCAGCTTTTCTGAGGACTGCTCTTTCTCTGCTTTTTTTTTTTTTTTTTAATGTTTTGGTAGAGGAGTATCACTGTCTGTCTCTGCTTTTCCTGCCCCCAAACCGGCACGCCCTTGTTTTTTTTTATTTAAAGAAAAAAATCTTCATCATTTTATTACTTTAAGAATACCCATTCATGTAGGAAACAGAAGCATAGGTCTATAAACTGTAACATAAAGAAGATGGGAACTGTAATAGACTTTTCTGGTTACCTCTAGACTTCCGTTGCAAGGTTGCCAGTTATATGTATTATTAAGGATTTGTTATAAGGGAGCATCTCACTATAATGAGCACTGTTGATTGTTGAACCTCTTTACTAACCGTGGTCCAATATGGCCCTTGAAAATCCCAAAAAACTGTAAGCAGCAATTTCTCAGCTGATGGCTGACTTTTGAACTTTTTCTTGGTCAGTGATTGAGGATGTAGTGATGTCCCATCACCAGTAATGATTTTTTAAAAAGACATTTTTACCTTCCAATATGGTTCCAAATTTTGTTTGCGATGTACAAATGCTTTCTGTTTATGCTTTTTTGTGAGTTGTTCACATACCCATCTTCCACACAATTTTCGAAGCCCAAGTCTGTTGTGGATTTTTTCATAAGCAGAGCCAGGCCTGATTTGTTGCATGCCACAAGCCACTGCCACCGGTTTATTCGACAGAGTCATGTCACGTACATGCTCATTGTTGTCGTCTCCAGTGGACATGCATTTTATGCTTATAAACTTTGAATTACCCTCGTGGGTGGATTGATTCAGTGACAGCAGCAATTGACTCAAACATAACAAGAATTGTTAGGATGGGGTAGGCCTGAGTAATGTTTCATTCTGTTGTGCAAAGAGTCGCTGAGTAGGAATTGACTCGAAGACACCTTACAACAAAACATGAAGTAATTAAAAAATATATTACTCTAGGTAATTTCATTCTGCAGGATATTTTTAAAGAAGTGCTGGTGATAAATTTCTCAGATGCTATGTTGTTAATAGAAAGGTTAGTGTGGGATATTTATAATACTTTACTAACTGCTCTAAAAATATCTTTGGAAGGGGACGCTTGTAAAATAATTTAACAGTGAATTATTGAAAGGTCTCTGTTTTTTTCCTCCTCTTAGAAGACTTAATTAAAAGGAAAAATGAATTTTGTTTAGTGTTTTGAGCTCAAAATATTTGTATTTTATTAAGTGCTTTCAAATACTGACAGGAATGCTAACTTCAAAATATCTCTGTGTCTTTCAGATTATTGCTCAGTTGTAACAATTGTTGACCAGACGAATGTAAAGTTAACTTGCCTGCTTTTCAGTGGAAATTATGAAGCCCTTCCAATAATTTATAAAAATGGAGATATTGTTCGTTTCCACAGGCTGAAGGTAAAATTCATACTGTCAAAACTTGCATTGCTTGAAGAGAACTTTGTGTTGTTAATGAAAAATAGTTAACACTGATTATATAGTTGGTTTTTTAGAACATGACGGGAAATGTCAGGAGGTAAGAAGAAATTAAATAGCATCAGACATCAGATCATTTGTATTGGGAATCCTCTTCCTTGGACCAAACTGCCTGTCCTTCTTCTCCAAACTGCAAAGCAAACCCAATGCCACTGAGTCAATTCTGACTCATAGGGACTCAATGGGACACAGAGTAGAACTGTCGATAGGATTTCTGAGACTCTAAATCTTCATGGTGCATCTTCAGATCATGGAGTGGTGGGTTGGATTCAAACTGCCCATCTATGGTACTCACCACACTTAAACCCACTGGTCCACTGGAGCTCCTACCTACTTCCTCTACTATGTATTGAGTTTCATGATTTAGACTCCATTCTCTACTTGCTATTCTAAATAAAGATCAGTGCTTTAAAAGTTGTCCAGATTCAGTTTGATAAAGAACGTTTGGTTTAAAAATAATCCCTAGGTCAAAAATAAAGATGATAAGAATGGTAGTTTATATTATTCTTTCCTGTTGTATTATATTAGTTTAATTACATGCAGTGACAGTATTGAGGCATACTTAATTTTGACATATGACATAAAACCAAAGTACATTGATACTCATTTATTGTTATAAATGTGTAACATAAACCAGGTACTTTAAAAAATATGGTGGTGGTTGTGTGCCTTTGAGTGGGTTCTAACTCAGTGACTCTGTTACAGGGTTTCCACAGCTGTAAAGCTTTATGGGAACAAAAAACTCATCTGTTCTCCCATGCAGTCACTGGTAGATTTGAACTGCTGACTCTGAGATTAGTTGAGTAGACAATAGAAAACCACTAATATGAAAATAAAGGTATTAAATATTGCATGCCATTTAAATCAGAATTTTAAAACTGACGAATGTAAATTTTCCTTCTAACTGAAGTTATCCTTTTTGCTCCAGTGTTTCTCTACATGAAATATTTTTGTTTTGTTTCTTTACATGAAATATTTTTGTTTTGTGTTTTCTTTGAAATTTTATTTGGAAATGACTACCTGATGTCCTTATATTTTCAGTCCCGAAGATAAAGCATTTCAGTTTCTTTATCTTTTCTTCTTGTTACATGGAAGCCTTCATAGTCCTGGTGTGCTTTTCTTTTAATGTGTCAGTTTATCTGTGATCCTCGTGGTCAGTGTGACAATCATAAATGTGCACCAATAATCAGATTTCCACATATCGAGAGAAACTTACTTCTGACCTTTAGTGCTGTTATCCTGAGACTACAAGGGTAGCCCAGCTTCCAGACTAAGGCGAACATGAAAGAAAATCTGTAAACTACTTCTGAAAATAAGCCTATGAAAATCCTATGAATAGAAATAGAGTTTTGTTCAAGATTTTCTTTGTTGGTGGTGTGCTGTGGAGTCTGTTCTGACTCATAGCAACCCTGTGTAGGGTTTCTGAGGCTGTAAATCTTTATGGGAGCAGAAAGCCTCATCTTTTGCCCACAGAACAGCTGGTAGTTTCAAACTGCTGACTGTGAGATTAGCAGCTTGACTTGTAACCAGTCACTTCCAGAGCTGGAAAATGAGTCCACCTGGGTTGGAGGGCAGTCCAGATATACGCTACTCTTAGCAATGTTGTTGTTGTTGCTGTTAAGTGCCACCGAGTGAGTTCTGACTCAAAGCTACTCTGTATAGGGTTTCTGAGGAGTGGCTGGTGAGTTTGAACCCCTGACCTTGTGGCTCAAACTGACCTTGAGGTCGAGTGGTTGAGGGCGCCATACCAGGGCTAGGTAGTGTTTCATTCATTGGTACATGGAACTAACTCAGTGGCAACAAATAGAAACAACAAAGAGCAATTCCAAAAGAAACAACTATTTAATTAAAAAATAAAAAGTGCAGGGAATAAGGAACAAAAGGCGGAGGGGGGAAATGATCATCTTAAATATCACCATGTCAGTAATTATGATAACTTTATATGGACTAAGCATTCCAGTTGCAAAGGAGGGATAAGAAGACTGAATATAAAAGCACAAGTCAACTCTGTGCTAGCTACAAGAAAGTCACTTTAAATATGTGGTGTAGACACAAACAGGTTGAAATTACACTTGTGGAAAAGGATATGGCAAGCAAACAGTAAGCATAAAGAAAATGAAATAATGTAGTATGAGACCATCTATATTACAAGACATACAAAGGAGAGGACCATTTCATGAAGATAAAAAGGTTGCTTCATCTGCCAGCCTTGTGGTTAGCAGTCTAGTACTCTTATCCTATAGCATTACTAGGATTCTTTCAATAGGACACAGTAAATCTGTCTTGAAAAATGATACCATTTAAATGAAAATTTTCAAAACCAACCTAAAAGACATCTGTGATTGATAATTTTTTGCTGTTATTTAAGAATCTTTGAAACAAGACTCAAAGACTTTAATGCCCCAATGATTGAAAACCAACGTTACTGGTTTTCTACTGTTGAAATGAATGAATGCTAAGATAGTATCTCCTTGGCTTGTACCTGTTTGAAGCAGACCAAACAGGAGGTGGAAGAAAGAAACTGGTGTCTTCAATTCTCAAGGGTTGGCTCATTAAAAATGCAGTGATGAATTTGCTTTGTTCAAAAATTCTGAAGCGCACACCAACATCCATGGTTGCTTCATCACTGAAGGTACAAGAAATGCTTTTTAGTCCTGAAATTAAAAAAACTAGACCAGTGCATCTATTCTAAATTATGTCATATTTTCTTTTTCTTACTCTAATGGTCACAGACTTTCAAAGTATCCCATTCAGTGCTAATTTATTAACTCTTTGGATCTAATCAAGAAAACAACTATGTCTATTTCTATATTGAGATAACTCTGTAAAATGTCACCAGAATATTTTTGTAATTATGATTATATCATGAAAACAGTTTTGATTATGGAATCTTGGTGTAGCGTTACAGGATAAGCACTGAGCCACAAGGTCAGTTTGAACCATAAGGTCAGCAGTTCACGCTCACCAGTCGCTCCTTGGAAGCCCTATATGGGGTCGTTATGAGTGGAAGAAGACTCGATGACACGTAACAACAACATAATAGAGTTGCTATGAATAAGAATCAAGTCAATGGCAATGAGTTTGATGGTTTGGTTTATTGAAGACTCCTGATTAAAAGGAAGAAATTAAAATTTAAAATCCTCATAGACTCTATAAACTTTACAAGAAGGCTGGATGAAACCCTGAAATGATTGTTCTGAGGTCATCTTTTAAAACTTAAAATATTCCCTTTAAGTCTTCTTAAAACCAAACAATAGTTTAATTTAACTAGTGAAAACTGTCTGCTTTCAGCATTATGCTCTTTTAAGACTAACTATAAGGAACCCTGGTGGTTTAGTGGACTGTGTGTTGTACTGCTGGCTGTAAGATTAGCAAATCAGATCTACCAGTTCAAATCCACAGTGAGAGAAAGTAGAGGTTTCTGTAGACATTTGCAGCCTCAGCAAACCTACATAGGGTCACTGTGAGTTAGAATCGACTTGATGGTAGTGCTGGTTGTGGAATGTGAGATAAAACTGACACCAGCGATTGAAAAGATTAGATAGGAAGCATTGGCGGGGGGGGAACAACTCAAAAGGAGGGTGTGAATGGTGGCATGACTCCATATAGCTGTGCATGATGTAGAAATGGATGAATTGGCATCTCTTTTGTGTGTATATTCTCAACCACAAAATAAAAAATTGTTTCAACTAGCAAGAGTCTTAATAATAAAGACATTGGATTGAGTTCTAACAACAACAAAAAAGGTTGCTTCAAAAGGGAGGTGTAATAGCTGTAAATTTATTAATAACTGGGTTCCCAAATGTGGAAGGCATAAATGCATATTTCACCTCTCTTGACCAGACTGATTATACCTTAGGCTCAGTTGTACTGTATTCACTTCAAAGTTCTATATTTTAAGAGTTGTTACTATTTTTTCCTTGAATAATTCATTTCCCTAAAATTCCCTATAACATTCAGTATCTTTTTTTCTTTTGTGAATTGTGCCTTAATAAAAACAGGCAACAGGTAAAATGTGAACATTAAGGTTGGTAGGATCAACAAGTCTACTTAGCTTATGAAAATACATAAATGGATTTTGCACCATGTTTTGCCCTTTATACTGCTGCTTGTGTATCTTGACACAGCTCCATTTTGTTTTCTGCTGTGTCCCACTCTTTCAGATCCAGGTGTATAAAAAAGAGACTCAGGGTATCACCAGCTCTGGCTTTGCCTCCGTGACCTTTGAGGGAACTCTGGGTGCTCCTGTCATACCTCGGACTTCTAGCAAGTATTTTAACTTCACCACAGAGGACCACAAAATGGTAGAAGCCTTACGTGTCTGGGCCTCTAATCACATCCCACGCTCTTCATCATTACTACAGTTGTGTGATGTTCAGCCAATGCAGTATTTTGACCTGACTTGTCAGCTTTTGGGAAAAGCAGAAGTGGATGGAACATCATTTCTTCTAAAGGTAGAAATTGTTCATACTTGAAAATCTGAGTTGGAAGCATCGCTTCCATGCCTGCAAACAAGTTATGCTTTAGGATTCTGGCCGTCTCTCTCTCGATATGTACAGTGTGTATTGTACTAAGAAGTCAGTATTTAGCTCACCAGTTTTGATGAGCCTTGGGTAAATACCCAGCTCTACTTTTGTACTTTTCTTCACATTTTCCTTCCAGAAGAAAATAATATTGTCAGATCTCTATTCTAAGTGTAGGGTGATTTATGCTGTGTGTGCTGATGTATTTATATTTTAATAATCATAAGTAAGGACTTGTGTTCCACAGTGGTTTTTTTGGTTGAAGTTCTGTTTTTTCTTTCTGCTTTTCTGCTTCTCTCTCAGGGAGGACTTTCCTCCCACTCATTTACTTTCTTGGTAAGTTGGGGTCTCTTCTCTCATCTGTTTCACAGACAGTTTAGAAATGTTTTCTGATGCTGCTCTTTTTAGGCTTTCTATTTCAAATCAGTAGGGTAAAGAAGGTACCTGAAGAGCCATCTTTCCTGTGTGCGTACCAGCTGGACTTGAGCTCATCAGTAGCTTCTGTGAAGATGGTTGTCAAGTAGTTCCCTCACCTGCATTTGAGCAAAACAGCATTTAACTCTACCTCTCTAGTTCTTTGGAGCAATAGGACAAACAAGGGAGTGTGGTGGCACTTGGACAGTGTGGTTCTCATTTACCTCTTGCCCTCCGTATTAAGTAACAGTGAAGAGAAATCTTTGAATAAAGGATTTCAAGTTTTTCAACTTGAAAATACCGCATATTGCTATACAGAAGAAATGCTTTGAAAGGGTAAATGTATTTTTATAAAGAAGTTAAGTAAGTTAAGTATGACAACTGAAGCTAAAGCAATATAGAATCACCCAGAACTACAAAGACTCTCGGTTCAGAGGTCAGACTTGCACCCGGGTGACACCCTGCGCATGTCAGCATGCGCTATCAGCTGAGCACCAGGGCAGGCACGGACAGGGACTCTCCAAGGCAGAGAGGAAATTGTTTAACTTCTGAGTAACATTGACACCTCTTACTGACGTGAATGAATGTACTTTCTCTCTAAAGCTACTCAGTCTAGCCCATTTTTATGGACAGCCTCAACATTCATGTAACTGTTACTTTAAGAGCAGCATTCTGAAGTGAATATGAGAAATTAAATTAGTAAAGCTTTCCTCAGGGAAGTTCCCAAATCTCCTAAGTCTTTGTCTACTCTTTTTGATGAGTCTATTTTCATGAATTTATTTTAAGGAAATAATGTAAAATGTGCACAAAATACAGTTAAAAGAATATTTATCCTTATATTTTTTTCAGTAGCAAAAATTTAAAAATACCTGAATACTAACAACAAAATTAATTGTGTGAACTATTTATACAGACTGGAATACTCTTGACTATAAAATAACATTGTGTGAATGCACTTATTGATATAAATGTTCATAATGGTCTTAACTTGAGCTTTGGGTAGATAGTGCGAATGTGTACACACATAGCAAACATAGATTATTGAATAGGTGACAGGATTTTACTAGTGTTCCCTCTGGGAAATAGAACGATGAATGACACTGTTCCCTTTGACATAACAGTCCTAGCGTAACTGAAATCATTTCTTAACTCACTTTTTTCAACCAAAAGGAGCCAGACATTACTCCAGAGCAGGTCTGGTCATCCTGGAGTTCCGTGTCATTATTTCCTGTTGCAATCTGGACACACATTAACATTTATCCGTTTTCAGGAACCACAGTGCGTTACTTTAGTGTTTCTAGTGGCCATGCCTTCCAGAAATTTCCATCATGATGAAAATTTAGTAAGTCTGTTAGACAAACTCACACTAATCCAGATTTTCTCTCCTTTCCTCTGCATATGCGGTTTATGTTTCTGAACAGTATACTCTTAGATTTTCAGTACAGATAATATGGTGTTGAACATACATGGTGATGGAAAAGCCTCCTCTATTCTGTATGTTTTTATAATGAACTAGCGATCATTCACACCCATTGCTGATGGATAGTGTGTGTATCTTGTATGTATTACAGTTTGGAGACCAAAAATCGCTAATAGAAAACCTTAAAATCACCATGTTAAAGAGGCTAACTCAATTTTGTACTGCTTACTTTTTCATTTGGGCAAAGGTCAGGGTACATTTCTGACAGCTAATAATTTACCTGAAGAAAATTAGCAGAGATATTCAAAAGTTTACATTTGAGATGATAATTACTGAATTATTTCCAGTAACACAAATGTTTTAAAAATGAACCCACCTGACCAATAAAGGGTTAAGTAAATTCAGATGCATCTGTTCCATAAACTAATATGAAGCTATTGGAAGTCATATTTTAGAAGGATATTTTAATTGCCTGTTGGAGTATTTAATGATAAGCTAAGAAATGGAAAGCAAAATTTGGTTAAGATATGTAAATATCAATATATAGATGTGTAACATACAGCAGTAAAAAAGGATGGAGTAAATGAATCAATATGTTACTATTTTTCTAGACTCATAACAATGCAAGTTTTTATTTTCCTTTGCATTCTTCAGTGTTTTACATATTGTCCATAGTTGCAGATAATTAGTAACATACATTTAATGACTTTTAAGTTATATTAGCACAGTAATCTCTGTTTAGCATCAGTAATTTTACAAAAGTACCATTAAACTCTGTTCTATCCACATGTGACAGGTATGGGATGGCACCAGGACACCGTTTCCATCTTGGAGGGTCTTAATACGTGATCTTGTTCTCGAAGGTGATTTAAGTCACATGCATCGGCTACAGAATCTGACAATAGACATTTTGGTCTATGATAACCATGTTCGAGTGGCAAAATCTCTGAAGGTGATATTGAATAGCAAACATATTTTGTTACTGTTTTTATAAGTTTTGGGGTTAATCACATTATTAGGTCATATTCACAGAGTGGAAATTGACTTCCAATTTAGTTTTTATTTGCTCCAATAAAATGTGTGTTTAAAATAAATGATAAAATATATCTTAATTCATAGTGGAATAAACAGCTTGTTTAAATTAAAGAACATTTCGTGAATATTTTAAAAATATACACAGTTTTACTAGAAAAAGTTTTGTCGCACAGTATGTATTGCTTTAAAACAACAAAGATTATATCAAGTATTGCAAACTTATATTTTAAGCTTTGCTAGCTGGTTTGATACAATCCAACCAGTGACTTTGTACTCCATAGTTTAAGATGCATTATAAAATATCTATGTTTATGTGTGTGTGAACTCTATAGTTCATAGAATTTACTCTTTTTGAGATAAGCTTTTTAGGTAAAAGTGCATAGTTTAAATAGGGCACTTTTTACTTATTAACAATATAAATTTTAGGGAGTATTTATCTTCATTTGATTATGCCTTTTGGTTGTTAAGTATCGTTTCTAGCAAAGAGTGGTATCATAAATAATAATTATAATGAGTACCAGTGGTTAAGAATTTATGTATGTGCCACTGTCCATGTGTGACCCTGTAGGATCAGCCTTGGCCTGTTTAACAACAATCTCGGAAGTTCAAACCCACCAGCCACTCCGTGGAAATCCTGTTACAGGGTCACTGTGAGTCAGAACGGACATGATGGCACTTAACAACAACATTCTACATTCTGTACAATAAGTACTATTATCCTCCCCACTTTACAAATGAGAAAACAGAGACTTAGAAAAATTAGCAAATTGCCCAAGATTCCAAGAAGCCAATGTTTGAACCTACAATATCTGTTTGTAAAGCCAGTCCTCTTAAATGCTAGAAGTTATGTTCTTAAATGCACATTTCTTCCAGCCTACGTAAAGGAAATTACAAGAAAAGAGTAATAGTGAATTGCATATGTTTTACACCTGAACTTTTGTGCCCATTTTCCCTTTGTAAGTGTCCCTGGAGAAAGAAGGACTTATTTCCCATCTTCATTGTGCTATAAGTACGGCCACCAAATTTAAATCAATGTAAGGCTAAATCCAGGATCAGAAGACGCTAACTCTACCTTTCATACATGTGCACACACTCTCATGCATAACTGATATGTCAAAGAAAATTGATTGTTGGAAACACATTTTTTTTTTTTTTTTTAATGTTTTTATTGTGGATTGAGTGAAAGTTTACAGGGCACATCATCAGTTTCACATTCAACCATTCATGTAACTTGTTGCATTACATTGATTATAAT